TCTATCTATCTATCTATCTATCTATCTATCTATCTATCTATCTATCTATATCATCACATTTATATAGCCACACATCATTCTGGGCTATGTACAACAATCAATAAAAACAAAATAAAAAAATAATCATTAGAAAATATAAAACAGCCATAGTGGTGGAGTGGTTAGAATGTGGTATTGCAGGTTAACTGCCAGCAATTTGATTCTGATTGGCTCCAGGTTGACTCAGCCTTCCATCTTTCTGAGGTTGGTAAAATGAGGACCCAGATTGTTGGGGGAAAGAGGCTGACTTTGTAAACCACTTGGAGAGTGCTGTAAAGTGGTATAAATAAATAAATAATAGTTTTAAGTCTAAGTGCTATAAAAAGTCATTATTATGCCCAGAGGTCGCATAACTATTGTCAATTATTTTAGAGAGATACTACTGTATTTTAAAGTTACTATTTTAAACTATTTTAAAGAGACAGAATTTTTATGTTGTATTACCTTATCAAAACCATGGAAAAAATCTCCTCAGAAGGAATATCTCTCAAAGCTAAAATTAATCTGTGGCTATACAATGCTGTCCCCATTTTTCCCCAGAGCAGAGTTTCTATTACCTTAATTGGAAAGTAAGGAGGTGCATAATTGCAACAAGATTCACAGTGGCCATTCCCATTATCCATGTTGGTTGAGCTTTCAGGAGCTAAATCCAAGTCATGGTCAATCCATTGCCCAAAATGCATGAATGCAAGAGAGCGTTGGTCATCAGCTGTCACATCCTCGTTGGAAGTTGTGATGATCTCATTAGACACTTGCCGTACCTGCCAGGAAGCCCCCAAAGAAGGTCAGATAAGCAAGTCTAATTTGTCTGGATTGAAATCCCCCAGTTTCCTAAGTGGTCTTTCCTTGGTCATACAAAGGGAATTAAAACTATTATTTATTTATTTTTATTTATTTATAAAATTTGTTGGCCACCCATAGGGTAACTCTGGGCACTTATAGTTACCTATAAATTTACACATAAAAAGTTAAAATTAGGCATTAAAACCAAAGACACATGGGGAGGGCAGGGGCAGAGTAGTGGGTGGGTGGAATCTGTTATTACTCAACCAATCACCCCCATTGCGCTGTTCCCCCACTGGGGCCTCAAGCCAACTGGCAGTGCCACATCTTTAGGCCCTTACAAAAAGATAGGACAGTTGGGGGCACACCGTTTACATTGAGGGAGGAAAAGATATTCCAGGGGGCAGGAGCAACAGTAGAGGAGGCGCTCCTTCTGAACCCCACCAGCCGGAATCATCGGGCTAACAGGAGCCCGCAGCATGCCTCCTCTGCCGGCATGAGTGGGCCAGTCCCAGTGGGGGAGATGATCCCTCTAATAACCTGGACCCATGCCATGAAGGGCTTTAAAGGTGGTCACTAACACCTTGAATTGCACCTGAAAGCAGACTGGTAACCAATGCAGCTCGCAGAGCAGTGGTGTTACAGGGGGCCATTCTTGGGATTCACAAAACTACCCGCTCTAGCTTCTGAATGCTCTTCAAGGGAAACCCCAGGCAGCATACTAGCCTAGGGAATTCTGGGAGTTGAAGTCCACAAATCTTCAAGCCAAAGATTGAGAAATTCTGTTCTAAGGTAAACAATACACAATGGCAACTGGGGGTGGGGGGTGGGTATGACCTAATCCACTTCATTAATCATGTTATTGGTGGTAAAGTCAGGTGATTTGGAGAGGAATGGGATGATGAAATGGGCCAGTTTCTATTGGCCACTTTAGGTATTGCTCTACAAGGATCATCTCATCCTATGCCACAATGGTTTTACCATTGTCCCCTGACAATTCCTCAACTGTACGCATGACCCAAACAGGTAGTTGACTTCCTACCACTTACCAGAGGGAGAGGATGTCCATGATAAAGTTGCCCCCCAATCAGTCCTCTTGGAAGGGATATGCCATCTTCATATTCTGCTGGAAGCCAGCGTGCATAGGCATGATTGGCTACTCCAAAATGTGGGTGCTCTCTAGAATGAGAAAATAATGTAGTGCATGGGAGGTCTTTTAGGGATATGTCCATCATTTAATCAAATATGCTGGAACAATAATCTCTATACAAAAATTATCTCCTTTCCCTCCCTGAAGGTGGAAGTTTATTTAATGGGCAGGTTTTGTTCTCCTCTGAATGTTGAACATGAAACCTCTGTGTAAATATCTGTTTTGAGAAACTATAACTGATTCAATGTGCCTTTTGAAAGCTTGTTTTAGAACTCCCCCTTAAGATTAACCAACAAATGAAATGAAGTTTTAAACTTAAAATGGCTAGAAATAAAACAATTCCATACAGACATTCTGGAACTGATTGCTATTAACACGGATGACCCAGTGGTGCCTGGTATTTTTAAAAGAAGACTGCCTCCTGAGTCCCAGCTGATCAGAATCCCAGCTGATCAGCTGGGTCTTCTTTTGTTGACCTGCACAGGAGAACAGAGCTGGAAAGCAGGTTAGTGGGGTGGGGAGGGAATGGGGATTTTACAGTATCCTTCCCCTGGAATGGGGTGGAAATGGGGATTTTACACTATCCTTTCCCTGCCACGCCCACCAAGCCATGCCCTCCAAGCCACACCATACCCACCAAGCCATATCACGCCCATCAAGCCACACCCACAGAACTGGTAGTAAAAAAATTGAATACCACCACTGACAAGATGGTATGTTTGAGGGGCTGCCACAAAGAAGAGGCTGTCAACCTATTCTCAAAAGCTCTAGAAGGCTAAATAAGAAGTAGTGGATGGAGGCTAATCAAGGACAGAAGCAACCTGTAACTACGGAGAAATTTCCTGACAGTGAGAACTTGCTTTCAGCTTGCTTTCAGAACTTGTGGAGGCTCATTTCTGGAATCTTTTAAAAAGAGACTGGACAGTCATTTGTCTGAAGTGGTACAGGGTCTCCTGCTTGAGCAGTGAGTTGGACTAGAAGACCTCCAAAGTCCCTTCCATTCGGTTATTCTAGCATTCTGTCTGTTAAAATTCTTTTTTCTCATAGGACCTGTTTATTTTTCAGACAAATAGCTCAGCATACAAAGATGCTTTTCAGCCAGTCAGACCATATTTCCATCTAAGTGGATAACCCAGCAAGAGGTAAAGAAGGGAAAAGCTTAGGATTCTCACTGCACCCTTCAAAATCCTTCCAATCAACTTTCCCGCATCTTAGAGGGCTTCTAAGCTGCAGAAGAGATGCCTTGAAAGGCTGCAGGCATCAATTTTGCTCCTTCAACAGCTCTAATGCTTTGCACAGAAAGTAAGCCTAAACTTTTCAGCTCTATCAATTCTGATTCCACAAAATCACCATATCCTAAAAAGACCTGATTTAAAACCTGACTTTCAGCCAGAGTTGTGTACCTATTGTTGCATTCGCCAGTGATGGTGCGGTAAGGACTGTTCAGTGGACAACGGATTGGCCGCGTCACATAATTGCAACCAGTTGTTCTGAAGAGTGTCTCTTTCTGCTGTCTGTTTAATATGTCTAAACCGGAAAAGAAATCAAGGATTTGATGTAATATTAATTTAATTAATGTTAATTTAATTGCTAATATCAATATAGGCAGTCCATGATTTATGACTACAATTGGGCCTAGAATTTCCCTTGCTAAGCCAGTTGGTTGTTGAATCAGTCATATCTGATTTTATTATCTTTTTTTGCACAGTTGTGAATCACTGCAGTTGTTAAATGAATTATGTAGTTGTTAAGCAAATCCAACTTACCACGTTGACTTTGCTTGCCAGAAGCTGGCTGGGGAGATCACAAATGATGATCACATGATCCTGGGATGTTGCAACCATTGTAAATACCATACATGCTGGTTGCCAAGCACTCAAATTTGGATCACATGATCATGGGGTTGCTGTGAAGATTATAAGTGTGGGATTGTAAGTCTTTTTTTTTTTCAGTGCCTTTGTAACTTTGAATAGTTGCTAAATAAATGGTTGTGAGTTGAGGACTACCTATACCAGGGACCACCCAACTCATAATTTTAAATCCCGCGAACCACTAATGTGAATTTTGACTGATGGTGGCTTGCTGATGTTGGTGGGAAAGTCGGTCCCATATTCCAGAGCTGCAGTAGTCACAGGAGTGGCCCTTTGGGCATCCCAGAGCAACTGCTCCTCCATCCAGGTGCACCGGCCTGCCATGGACTGGAGGAGCAGCTCCGGGATGACCAAAGGGCCAGTCCTGTGACTACTGAAGCTCTGGAATATGGGACCAACTTTCCCACCAACGTCAGCAAGCCACCCCGGGGCGGATTTTCCTCCCCCGCTGTTGGTCTTACCTTCCAGTTCCAGCTTTCATGGCTCTACTCAAGGTAAGGTTTGCGCTCGGCCAAAGGGTGGGGGCCAGCAGGTGGGCAGGCCATGTGGGCAGCACAGCCTTGTGTTCCCGCACAGCCTGGATTGCTTTGGGGGGGACATTTCATTGCGGACCACCAAAATTTTCACGTGGACTACCAATAGTCCCCGGCCCACTGGTTGGTGACCACCGACCTATACTGTAAAACTGTAAATTAGACGTAAAGGACAGTGTTCAATTGCTTTCATTCTGGAAATAAGAATTTTTCTGGAGTCTAAGCTGTAGTATTCATGACCTAACATGTGGGATTTTCGTTTTTTTGTCCACTTCTCATCCTCTTGAATTACCTATCTAAGTAAAAGTTCTGGAGCACTCCAGAAGTGGGACGTTCTTTAAAGGCACTGTGATCAGGCCTTGTTTTCATTGATCCTCATAGGTATCTCTGGTTTTTCATCCTACCTGTAATATTGAATGGTCTCAGGTGCTTATTTTGTATTTTCTTCTCTAAAATATCCAAAGCAGTTTCCATATAACTTGCAGCTCGGATTGCAGTCCTGGTTCCTGCCACGGGTGCTTTTAAATATTTCAGAAAATCAGAAGGGTTGAGATCATCCTTGTTCAAACTTTCTTTTATTCTGGAAAAAGAAGTAGAGTTGATGACAGCAACCACAATAGAAAATCCCATGCAAAATATAGTTGTGTTTACACAATGCTGTTTTTAAAATAGCAGCAAGAAAGTTGCACCACAAAGAGAAAAATAGACCCAGAGGTGGTATTCAGCCAGTTCTGACAGGTTCTGCAGAACCGGTAGCGGAAATTTTGAATGATTTGGAGAACCAGCAAATACCACCTCTGGTTGACCCCACCCCTGTCTATTCTCTGCCTCCTGAGTCCCAGCTGATCAGCTGGGTCTTCTTTTGTTGCCCTGCACAGGAGAACGGAGCTGGAAAGCAGGTTAGTGGGGTGGGGAGGGAATAGGGATTTCCCCTGCCACACCCACCAAGCCACGCCCACCAAGCCACACCACACCCACCAAGCCACACCACGCCTGCCAAGCCAGGCCCAAAGAACTGGTAGTAAAAAAATTTGAATGCCACCACTGAATAGACCGGAGGTATTCTTACTCTTTCATGTTATTTCCTTTCTTTCTAGGTAGAAAAACAACTATAACCAGTGTTATAAAAATCTTCCACATAACCATTTTGCCTCTTCACCAGAGAACCCCATTTAGCCAATACGCATGGATTAATGTATGCAGCCTGAATTCTTATTTTTCCATGCCACAATAAATCTGTGTATTTTTCTTCTTCTCTCCTATCTTTACTATTGCTCAAACATCTGGATGTTTCATAAGACTTAAGTCTTTGGGGGAAAGGGAGTCCTCCTACAATATCATATTTAAGAAGTATATACTCAGACTCCTGTATGATTGTAAGTTGCTGGACACCCAAGCTCCTTCAGAGATAATGGATTAACTAGTCAGCTTTGAGAGGGGTTTTTGTTACAGCAGAGCAAATGAATGAATGAGGAGGATAGTTAGTAAACAGGTGTGGGCTTGAGAGTCACAACACTGAGGTAGGCAGCCATATAAATTCAAATAGAAACAAAGAGAAAGAGAGGAAGGAGAGGGGAGGAGAGGCTAATGAAAAAGGAAAGGAAATAAAGGGATAAGGGAAAAGAAAGAGGAGAGGAGAGGATAAGAGAATAAGGAAAGGGAAGGAAGGGAAAGGAAGGGAATAAAGGGGAAAGGGAAAGGGAAAAGAAAAAGGAAAGGAAAGGAAAAAGGAAAAGGAAATTTGCAGTGCATGTCACTATGCAATGAGAGTTTGGAACCAACCATTTCTCTTTCCTCCTCTGTTGGGACTCATTGCTTGATTCTGAAACAATTTTAACCAGGACCCTGAAAGAGTTTGAGGCTTCCTTGGCACTACATATAAACTCAGGTTACTTTCCTGTCATAGCTCATTGAATTATTTATGATCTTTCACTATATTGTTCTAACACAAAATACTGATTAATTGTGCAGCCAATTTAAATACGTTGTATGGCTGAAGCTGTCCTGTGTGAAAAGAATCTTAGCCTTCAGAGATCAAGTTGGTATTTTTGTTATTTTTGCAGTTATGTAATTTATTGTAAGGCAGGTATGTATGGGGGTTTTATCCCAACCCAAAGTCGGACGAAGGTACATTCTCTCAAATTGGAAAGATGGGACCAAAATGTGGATAGAACGAAAATGAAATTAAATGTATTTACATCTAATTAATTACATTTAAAATTACTGTTCCCCATTTATTTAATAATTTTCTACCTGCGTCAATATAAAGTTTATAATTTAGTGGCAATTTTGAGAAGGTCCCAATAAACTTGCCCTCTTAAGCTTCTAGAAGTTTCAGGCCCACACAAGTTTGTCCGTGTGTGTGTGTGTGTGTGTGTTTGTGTGTGTGTTATTGCTCTTTAGGTTAAACTTTTTTTCTCCCATCTGTTTCCTAGGCATTCTAAACGTTCATCATGAAAAATTGAGGCTTAGAGTCCATGATGAAACATGACAGAATAGAATAACAGAGTTGAAAGGGACTTTGGAGGAAACCCTAGACCACAAAGGAAGTTGTTGATAGTTTTATACAGAAGAAGCTCACCTTTCCCGGGATAATTTAAATGCCAGATCCACCTTCTGCTTGGCTTCATTAATGCTGTTGAAAAACTCTCTACCAGTCAGCTCTTCAGAAAAAGCATCATCATCATCATCATGATCTTTGGAAGAATAAAACAATGTTAGAAGAAAAATAAGATTCTGGCTTTTTTTCCCCATTAACCAGGAGCAGGAGAGATGAAAAGGATGGCTGCCTAGAGCATCACACTTTAAACACTTTAAGAAAGCAGAGTGTGTATCTGCTTCCCTGTCCATTTTTATTTCTTGCCTATAATACAGGGGTGAGATTCTACCAGTTCACACCTATTCGCTAGAACCGGTTGTTAACATTCTAAGCAGTTCAGAGAACCGGTTGTTAGAAGAAATTACTGGCCTAATCCTGTAAGGAAGGCAGGAAGAAAACATTCTGGTGTTGCTTACAGAAACTGCCTCTCCGTTAACCCTTATTATGTTCTTGGCAGGACTAGACTTCCTTTCTCTGGAACTTCTCTGGAGTTTTTTCCCCCCTCCTTTGCTGGTACTTTGCTTTTGTGGAGTGACCATTCAAAGTTACAATGGCACTGAAAAAAGTGACTTATGACCATTTTTCACACCTATGACTGTTGCATCATCCCCACAGTCATGAGAGGTCAGGCGAGGAGATGCATGCCTCGATGTGAGTGATATTGAGTTGGCCACACCCAGCCAATAACATGACCACCAAGCCACGCCCACCAACTAAGCCATGCCCACAGAACCAGTTGTTAAAAAATTTGAATCCCACCCCTGCTATAATATCATTTAATTGTTAAGCCTGAAGGCAAATACTGCCCTGCTACTTATATCTTAAAATCTTAAATCTAAAATTGTATATCTAAAAATCTTCTTGGCTGGGAAGCAAAATAAGAAATTGAATAATAAGCAAACAACACTGAATATGTTTTGTAACATATTTTATAAGCCCAACTACCCCAAGTCACTGTGAGTTAAGCATCCATACAAATTTTCCTAATAAATAAATAAGATGTAACAAAAATGATTGTTACCAGCAATGACTATCAGGATTCTCTAGCCAGAAGTAAGGAATAAAGTCTGACTGAACTATTTAATGGCATTCTGCCCTAAATCAGGGGTGTCTACACTGCATGTATGCCAAACAACTCAAGACAATGGTATGATTCATTTTGCCATTTTTGACCTTCCCTGAATACTGTAGGAAGTTACACTTATGTTAGCAGTTCCAACAGTTGCTAATAAGGGGTTAGGGTTAGGGTTGCTAATAAGGTTCCCTTCCCATAAATTTTTCCCCTTTTTTTAACATCTGTAAGCCTCCTCTCATTTTTTTAATGAGCTCAACTTAATGACAGACCTTCAGATTAAATTATTGGTGGCACACTAGAGAGGAACAGATGTGATTCTAGTGTCAGCTTTGAAATTCAGCTGCCACATTTAATGGAAGGGGGGGGGGAGGAGTTGAAAAGTTCAAAGTTATTCTGTATGTCGTACTAAGAAATTCCAGTTGCAGTTAATTGGTTCTCATGATTTATGAAGTGTAGAAGTGGGAGGAGAGAAGGTGGATTCTGTGTAATAAGCGAAAATACTTTCACTTTGGGAAATTGCCTTAGACGTACCAGATCTGTTGCTAAATAAATCAATTGAAGAGAAAATGTCTCAGAGTGATTGATATCATGGATACTTTCTGGATGCCTTACATTTAGGTTATTTAAAAAAGAACCTTCTTGGGCATTTTGATAATAGTCTCAACTAGCTCAATACCTGTGCTTCGCTAAAAAACTATGTGGTCGGGCTTAGTTTTTGGGGAGGAAAATAGTGTGTGGGGGGGAATTCTGCCTCTGCCTACCAGTATCCATCTGTATTGGCTAGTGTCCTGTCAGTGTGTGAGAGAGTTGAGGGCTGTTTGGAAACTGAAACAGTATTTGCTGTGTGAACAAGAAGGAAACAGCAAGGAGCCTGGGCGTGGCTTAGCTCAACTGTTCTGTACTAAAGCTGCTTGGTACTCTGAAACTGAAACTCCTCTCCTCTTCTTATGTTTTGCATTTGGAACAGATTTCTTTTCAGGTGGGGAGGGGCAGTAGAACTGCTTAGCATCAGAGTGTGTTAATAATAAGATATAAAATAGTAATGCTCTGATGGTCATTTTGAAAAATCCTTTTTTAGTGAGCACCTAGAAGCCAAGAGGAACATACTTGCCAAATTTCAAGTTTGTATGCTTTCCGGTTCTGGAGATTTTGTGATGATGCGTGAGTGCTATTTTGCTTTTATATAGATAGACAGATTAGCCACAGGAGTTTGTCTACCACAAAATCAAAGACATTTTTTGAAAATTAATGCCACACCTAGGGTTAGCAGTCCTCTGGCAAAAGGACTACAGGTCCTCCTTTTTGTCCTCATGTCCTTCACCCTGCAGACATAGCCTTAAAATCAAATATTCAAGGCATAGCCTGAAAATCAAATATTGCCTTTTTAGAGTAGCTACAAGCTACTGCTTTCTGAGCAGCTGTTTGAGGCCAGTGCTTCCCTAAACTACCCCTGAAACTTTAATTAGTTGTTATGAACTCGGGCTGGCAATTGTTGCCTGAAAGGTGACAAAATTTAATGGAATGGGATAGGATGGGATGGGATGGGATGGGATGGAATGGAATGGAATAGAATAGAATAGAATAGAATAGAATAGAATAGAATAGAATAGAATAGAATAGAATAGAATAGAATAATGGCCAAGTGGCATTGGACACACAAGGAATTTATCTCCAGTGCATTAGCACTCAGTGTACATACAAGGAACAAAGCGATCAGCTGCATCCTGGAAGCTTTTGCCTTTTAACTTTTTCCAGTACATTCCTGCCATTGGAGAAAAAAAACAATCTTTCTGATGCTGGAAGCTGTAATTTTATATCGTCAGAAGAAATTTGGGTCCATTTCTGAGAAGGTCACAAAAGAAATGCACTGGACAAACTGCTTGAAAAGAAGGGTGGCCTCTCTGATAGCATGGGATACAGCAATCAAGGTAGCAACCATTTGGGAAGTTTTGAGGCTACCGTAGTAATTAGTAATATTTACAGTGTGTGAATGTATCAGTCAAAGTGTTTGTTCTGATGGATGAATGGTTATAAGTCAAGGACTACCTGTACTTTTCCCATCACCTTCCCTAGAAGAATTTGTTAGCCCTATCCATGCCCCATAAATATATTTTTTAAAGAAAATCCCATGTTCATTTCTTGAATCCCACCATTTAATACAAGCTGTGTTCTGATGCAGGGGTCTCTAGCCTTGGCAACTTTAAGACTTGTGGACGTTGAAGGCCACAAGTCTTAAAGTTGCCAAGGTTGGAGACCCCTGTTCTGATGGATCAGCCCCCTGGCTCGTCTAGTCCAGCAGTCGGTTCTCACACTGACTAACCAAGTGCATAAGCAAGTTCTCTAGCCTCTCAATAGATGGCCACCAAGATTAATAGCCCATGTTAAACAAGGCTAATTGCTCTTGATACTTATTTGTTTGTTTGTTTGTTTGTTTGTTTATTATTTTTGTCAATTGCTTACAAGTAAAAAACATAGTTATGAATAAATAGATACATATAAGAAAAAAAATAAAACAAACAATAGGACAGGGACGGTAGGCACGTTGGTGCGCTTATGCACGCCCCCTACAGACCTCTTAGGAAAGGAGTGAGGTCAATAGTAGACAGTCTAAGGTTAAAGTTTTGGGGGTTTGGGGAAGAAACCACAGAGTCAGGTAGAGTATTCCAGACATTGACCACTCTGTTGTTGAAGTCATATTTCCTGCAATCAAGTTTGGCGCAATTAACCTTGAGTTTGTATCTATTGTTTGCTTTTGTGTTGTTATGGTTGAAGCTGAAGTATTCATTGACAGGTAGGACATTGCAATGTATGATTTTATATACCATACTTAGATCAGACCGAAGAGGGCGTAATTCAAGGTTTTCTAGGTCTAGAATTTCAAGTCTGGTGGCATAAGGTATTCTGCAACGAGTAGAGGAGTGGAGAACTCTTCTTGTGAAATATTTCTGGACTTTCTCAACTGTGCTTATATCAGATACGTAATGTGGGTTCCAGACTAATGATCTGTATTCGAGTATTGGTCTAGCAAATGTTTTATATGCTCTAGTTATTAGTGTAATATTACCAGAGAAAAAGCTATGTAAGATTAGGTTAACAACTCTTAATGCCTTTTTGGCTATGTAGTTACAGTGGGCTCTAGCACTTAGATCATTAGAGATGAGTACTCCAAAATCCTCGACAGACTTTGGATCATCAACAAAATCTTCATTTCTGTCTTGTTTATAAATCCCTCAAGAGGCCATTAAAAGCTGCATTTCTCTCTCCCAGGAAGAATTATGCTGGTGAAAAAGTTTCCAGAAGCAAAGCAAGACTTATAATTTTACCTTCCACATAAGATTCAGATACCATCAAGAGGTTGAATGTTATCAAAAGACTGAGCAAAACAACTGTTCTCCCCATCTCTGAAAAAGAAAAGAGAGAAGGTACAAGTTGATCAATTTAGGGAAATATACTTTTAGAACCCTACAAAAGTAAACACAGATGCAGCATGTTCTTTAATTTATCTGTGACTTTCTAATTTTGTCCCAAACTAGTTTGTGTTCCTAAGGCTTCATTTTTTAAATGAGTTTATTGGCACCTGAGGTAACCTTTATAGGACATAAAGCCTTTAGAACTTCTTAGAGTAAAGGAGTTACAGTGACTCTGGGCGGCTTATAATTTAGCTCACAGTTGTTTGTAGATGTGTCAAGGTAGTTTCTAAGATTAATTTCTAACAGAATAACAGAGTTGGAAAGTACCTTGCAGGTCTTCTAGTCCAACCACCTGCTCAAACAGGAAATCCTATACCATTTCAGACAAATGACTGTCTAATTTCTTCTTTAAAATCTCCAGTGTTGGAATATTGAATTCTGTTCTAATTCTGTTTCCTGATTTTCTTGGACATAATTTCCACATAATTTCCATAATTTTCTTGGACAATATTTGCCATTGAAGTGTGAATACCATAAACCTATCCTAAGATGCAGAATATGATCTGAAAATTTTTGGTCACCCTACTACAAAAAAGATATTGGAAAAAGTTCAGAGAAGAGCAACTAAGATGATCAAAGGCCTGGAGACTAAAACATATGAAGAACAGCTGCAGGAATTGGATTTGGCTATTCTGAAGAAAAGAATTAGGGGTGACATGATACCGATAGCAGTATTCCAGTATTTGAGGGGCTGCCACAAAGAAGAGAAGCTCAAATTATTCTCCAAAGTACCAGAGGGCACGGCAAGAAACAATGGATAGAAACTAATCAAGGAGAGAAGCAATCTGGAATTAAAGAGAAACTTCCTAATGGTGAGGACAATTAACCAGTAGAACAGCTTGCCTTCAGAAATCGTGGGCACTCCATTACCGGAGGGTTTTAAGAAGAGACAATCACTTATCTGAAATTGTATAGGTTCTCCTGCTTGAGCAGGGGACTGGGCTAGGAGACCTCCCAAGGTCCCTTCCAGCTCTAATCTATTTTGAATTTTAAATAGCACTGAATTTAAGAAGAAGCAATGGGATCTCAGAAATACAGCCACAAGAAGACTTCCTGACAATTAGGATCTCCAAGTCAACTTTTTACATAATAAGACATAATCTCCATGGCAAACGAATATTTTTTTTAAAGCCCTATGTTCAATTTCTAACAATTGCAGCTCAACATTTCCCAATTAACAGGATTAGGATATCTATCTGTTGACCTTTGGGCATCATTTTAAAGGAATTTGTGGCCTGACTCTGCAGACTTCTCAAGCTAGGGTCTTCCAGATGTGTGGACCAGTTCCAAGAACTTCCAACTGATTGAGATTTTTGCAATTTGATGATCCTCACATATCTGGAGGACATCGAGGTTACGAGAAAGTGCTGTTAAAATGGACAGATTTCCTTCATTTGAAAATGAAAGACATCAGATTCATTATCTTGGATCAGAGAAAAATAAGGCAAAGGTGAGAGTCAGGGATTTTCCCCTCCTGAAACGATTTGAGAGATGTTATTAGTCAGAGAAGACTGTATGGAGAGATCAGAAATATGAGTTCAGGTAGTCCTCGACTTACAACCACAATTGAGCCCAAAAATTTTATTGCTAAATGAGACAGTTGTTAAGTGAGTTTTGCCCCATTTTACAACAGTTCTTACTACCGTTGTTAAGGGAATCACAGCAATTGTTAAGTTAGTAACACAGTTGTTGTGAATCTGACTTCACCATTGACTTCGCTTCTCAGAAGGTTGGAAAAGGGGATCACATGACTCCGGGACACCGCAACCGTCATAAATACGAGTCAGTTGTCAAGCATCTGAATTTTGATCATGTGACCATGAGGATGCTGCAATGATCGTGTGAAAAATAGTCATAAGTCACTTTTTTCAGTTCCATTGTAACTTTAAACAGTCACTGAATGAACTGTTGTAAGTCGAGGACTATCCATATAAAGTCAAATCTCTATCAGGTAGAGAAAAGAATAACTTTAACTTTATTTTGAATGTACACTAATCAGCATACGTTAAAATGAAATTTCATTCTGAGGAAAGTCAGAAGGTCATCAGGAAAAGTTTTTCCCAGATGGGCACCATTACAGCTGCACTGGAGGATGCAGGTTCGCCTTGCCCCATCCTGCAACTGAATTTCAGAATTATTTGAAAAACAAATCCCAATAAATCCTAATAACAAAACCTTATTAGCTTATTTAACTAAATTGTTCTGGAGTAAATTGGAGAGCCAACATGGTGAATTAAATAAATTAATAGAACCAAAGAGTCCTTGTTGCGGTGTTAACACTGATCATTCTGGATTAAATGATCCCAAAACAGTAGGGGTGACATAATAGCAGTCTTCCAATATCTAAGAGGCTGCCACAAAAGAAGGAGTCAACCTATTCTCCAAAGCATCTGAAGCAATGGATGGAAATACATCAATGAGAGATCCAAACTAGAAATAAGGAAAAAAATTCCTGACAGAACAATTAATCAATGGAAGAGCTTGCCTTCAGAAATTGTGGATGTTCCATCACTGGAGGTTTTTAAAAGAGATTGGACAGCCATTTGTCTGAAATGGAATAAGGTCTCCTGGTTGAATAGGAGATTGGACTAGAAAGACCTCAAAGATCTTCCAATTCTGTTATTCTGTTCTGTTCAAATATCATTTTTCACTTTCCTAACCCCATAAAGAACCCAAACTGGTGTTGAGAAGCAGATCAACAATTAACTGGAGAGAGAAAGGGGAGATCAAGCTTAACAATCAACTAGAAAGAGAAAGGGAGATCAGTTCCTCATTGGCAAATCCATCGCCTTCCCATCAGCCACAAGATAAGTGCTTAGGAGAGCAATCCTCACCTGCTCTGTTTTTCTTCAGATGATTCTCCACTCTGGAGAAGAGATGATCTAAATTTTTATACTCCTTGGATCAATGGGTGTGGACATGAATGAATAAGATGGGACTTTTTTAAAAAAAAAACTTTGTTTGATTTGGACCAAAAGAAAGTATTTAGTGGGCTATTCCAAGATGAAACTTAGAAAGCCCATTTCCTTGTTCTGGAAACTGAAACATATTCATTCAGATTAGCAAAGAAAAGATCTGACATCATTAACTAACACTGTGCCTGCCAATGCTTTTGGACTATAACCCACATCATACCCTGCAGATTAATGTTTGTGCAGTATGGGAGGCGTTTTAAACTAAGTACACAGGAAAACAAAAGAATGGTAATTTCTAGATAATCATAAAGGACTGAAGGAATTTTGAAATAGAAGAGGTGATATAATGATTCAGTGGTTAAGACTCACTGGAAAGCTCACAGCCCAGAGCTTGAGAGTGGAGACGTTTCATTTCCCAAACTAGGTAACACCATCAGTGCTTGTAGGAAATGATGGTTCCCTATTATCACTGATGCTGTTACCTAGTTTGGGTAATGAAACATCTGCAAGAAAATTACCAAGATTAGAAAGCACCAAGGACTACCACATGTGAGATGTCTTTTCATTTTGCCTCTACAAAAAGAAACTTGAGTTGCTTGAGCCAAAACAACCTTAAGTTATCTAATGTGCTTCCTGGTTGAATGGGGACTTGAACCTGGGTTTTCCCATGCAAAATCCAACAATTGAATCATTCAATGGTGTTTGTGAGGCTTCTATATTATTTTTCTTAGCCATATCTGTTTCCCTTTCATTTCTAAACATTATTCTAATAGTAAAAAATAAAGTAAGTGTAGTCCACAGATGATGTCTTTGCCCAGTTCTGCTCCATCCCTCTAGTAACAAGCTCTTCAGAATTCTGATTTCCAGTTTGCAGGGCTTCGGCAACAGGCAGGAATCCGCGATCGTGTGCGGTTTCTCTCCGCAGGAGCGCCCCAAGCCAGCTGGTTTCGGGCCTAAGCCACCCCATAGAGGTGGTGAAGAGGGGGGAAATCGCCAGCAGGGTCGAGGAGAGCCGCATCTCTCCTCCTCAGCTGGTCAAACTCCCCTGCCCGAAGACGGTAGGAGCGGTGGTCAGAAATGGCCACTTCAAAGAAGCACTCAACCAGAAAAGAAAGTGCAGGAGGAAGATAAGAAATGAAAGTTTTGGCTGACCGGGATAAAAAGCAACAACTAAGGTACCCTGGAATTTAAATTTTATAAAAGATAACATCGCTCCCAAAGAAGAGTCGGAAGCAGCGAAAGAAAGTAAAAAGGGAAAGTTTTTTTTTTCTTCTCTCTCCTTCCTCACATTGACAATGAAGAGAGCTGAATAAGAAATCAGAAAAATCCACTTTGGCACCAATAATTAAGCTGAAAATATAATTAAATGCCAAAGGGACAATAAAGATTTCTGGACACTAAAAAATCCTTTTTGTCTGTAAGTAGGAAGGGAGAGGAAAAGAATAAGGGCAGGATCTGGAAGGAGGAGACTGCCTGGAATTTAAAAGAATCTAAAGTTAAATCTCAATAAGACTTCTAAAAGATACATTTTAATTGGAACTTTGTAACTAAATAGTAACCCCAGGAAGAGAAAGTGAAAAAAGAAGAAAGTGTAAAAAGAAGCAGCTTGTGTGTATTTGGATTGCTTGGTGACTTTGGGATATTACATTTGAATGACTAAAAACAATTGGGTAGTTGTTTAAAAAATTCTACAATGGTATTATCTCTGGATGAACTGAAAATGGAATTTAAAAAATATAAAGAAGAGACACAAGAAGGGAAGGGCTCCTTTGGCTCCGTTTTTCAATTTTTAGAAATGGCAATTCGTAACTACGAGAAACAACAAGAAAAGACTGCGCAACAAGAAGATTGGGACAAAGAAAAAGCCATCTTTAATGAACAAGTAACCTTGTTTGGGGAAGAAAGGGGAAAGGGGGGAAAGAGAAGGGAGAATTTAAGACTTAAAAAAACAACCAAAAAAGGGAAAAATAATTTGAAAAGTGGATATAATGTTGGAAAGCAGCAGAAAAGGGGAATACAGAAGAGGGAAATGGAGGTGGAGAGACGGGGGGTAAAAAGGGGAGAGAGAAGAAGAAAGGGAAGAAGGAAAGGAAGAGAAGTTACAAAGGTTTGGAGCAAGATGTAAAGAAACAGGACCTATTCAGAGATAATGGGTGAAAATCTAACTGAAAAAGGGATTCTGTGAAGGTACATAAGATGGTATTGTTATATTTGTAATAGAAATAATGTTAGAAAATTGAAAACAACATATGATTAAAAAGAGGGATAAAATAGTCAGTGTAATTTAGTGAAACTTTTGTGAACAAAATAAATGAAATAAAATAAATGAGAGAATTGAATTAGGAAGGAACGGGAACATTTTATTTACTCAATGTTTTATAAAATATAAGTGAAGTGGGGGGGAATTAACTATGGAAAGTTTATAAGTGTTCCCATAGAAGTATGATTTTTATCTGAAAAGTAATGTGTAAAATGTTAAGATTTAAATGAATATTAATATTAATGATAGAATTGAATTGGTATGGATTGTTGTTCTAATTATATTATACATTTATAATTTTTCCTTTTTATAAAAATACAGTGTGTAGTTTTAGAAAGTACCAAGCAGAATCCAAACGGAAGTTATGTATTATATTAAGTGTTATAATTTTAGGGGAAAGATATAAAGGCATCATACTCCAATCAGTGATTACAGGAGAAAATTTGTTTAATGAGAAAAGATAGTAGACAGTTGAAACAGGACAGACAAAGAATATAAATATAATGATTTGAATTGAGATGAAATAAATAAAACAAAATTAAGAAAGTTAAAAGAGGGGAGAAGCTATATCGAAAATGTAGAATAGTAACAAGATATGGAATGGAATATAAAAATGAGCATGAACTTGAATTTGTGTCTGTATGAAGAGATGTAACACGGGATTATGCTGCTTTCAAAAAAGATGTTTTATGTTTTTATGTTTTATGTTTTGTTTGTTTATGTTTGTTTTCAAAAATCAATAAAATTTTCAAAAAAAAAAGAAGCTCTCCAGAATTCTAAATAGTTCCAGTTTTTTAAATGCCAAAATTGCTATTATTTTTTTTTGTTTTTGCTCAATCACAATCTTTGCTCAATTGGTGAATCCTATTCTGAATCAAAAGTTAATATTTAACCCTAGAATTGCCCCCTCTTCTGAGAAGGAAGTTTATATCTATGTTTCCTGAGTTTCCCCAATTGACCTACTAGTGCCGTTTTAGGGTGGAGTAATGAAAAAAGCCATCTTCCAGAAATCTGGTGGCCAAATATGCAAATCAGTCTAAGTCCCAGGTCAGAATCCAAGTAGTTCTAGTTTAATTATATATATTTTATTATTTTATGCACTGCTGGGGTGATACCCATGATAACATTCAATTATGTTGTGGTTCTATATAGTTATTTGAGTTGCTTGTGTGATTAGCAAGACCTCAGTTTAGACAATAATCTCCTGCTTTTCTATTTTTTTTAAGGATCCAGTTCAAAGCCCAATGTGATTTTTTAAATTAGATTGCTCTTCTATTAATTTAGCAAGATTACTTTTATTGATCATAGGATTCAACAAAAGGAGAAGTTCTGCAATATATGAGCAAATAAAATAGTTTAAAATCCAAGTACAATTAGCCTGATAACATATTTACCACTAAGTGTTCTGAAAATTAAAAATCCATAAATGTCCAGTCACCTATGTTGAGTCCAGAGGTAGTATTCAGCAGGTTCTGACCAGTTCAGTAGTGGAAATTTGGAGTCGTTTGGAGAACCAGCAAATATTACCTCTGACTGGAGATTTTACAGTATCCTTCCCCTGCCACTCCCACCAAGTCACGTCCACAGAACTGGTAGTAAAAAAATTTGAATCCCACCACTGGTTGAATCCCACCATTGTGCTGAGTTCCAATGTTTACTTTAAAAGAAGCCAAATAGTTTCTGGAGAATCTATTAGATGGACCTCAGTTTTTGATCTGGAAAAATGGACTGACAGGCTGTGTAGTTTTTAATAGTATTTTTATTAAAAATTGCAATCAAAATGATCAAAACTAACAGAAACTACAAATGCAAAAAATAAAAAAACAAATAGCACTGAAAGGGAAAAAATAAGAAGAAAAATAGAAAAAGAAAAGAATGTAGTAAAGAAAAGAAACATATAAAGAAATTATTTCTCCCTTCATCATATCAGATTCAGGTATAAATAATTTCCGTAATGTATCACCTTTTAAAATACAAGAAATGATCTCTTCTTCCAATATCTCCTTGTAGAAAGTTAGCACCCACTTCTCTCCTAGAAGAATGAAATATTCTAGGAAATATTAAAAAGGCAGAATATTTCCCCTAAAAGAGACGCAGAAGGGATGCAGAAACTCAGGCCCAGCAGATATTTTGGTGCCAGCTTATATACGAGTCAAAAGATCTCCAGCTTCAGGGTGACAGGATTAGTCCTCACTCAAGATCCAAACCAGGACCAAGCCATTAAGCTATAATAGGAGTTGCCAAAAGCCCCTTCATTACATCTCCCAGCAAGATTCAACCAAGCCTGGGACTCAAGACAACCTGCAAATTTACCCCTGCATTGCCCATGGGAATCTGACAACCAATCAGTATACATTTCTTGCCACAGGAACAGGAAACAAGTCCAAAGCCCAACAGAAGGTATAAATCTCTCTTCCTCTCTCATACATGTGCTCAATTTTGCCCAGGACCTCAAACCATGTGGTCCTGTCCACTATTAAACCATCTTTCCAAACAGCTTCCATGTTTCCAGTGTCTTTCTTCCCACTTGGAACTGAACCCAGATGGACATTTCTTCCAAAACCCTCTCTTACTTACAAACAAATCCTTAAAGCCTTATTGTTCAGTCCTCATCAGCAAAACTTCATTAAGGATTAGCATATCTATTTTAAGCTTAATCAACTAAGTCAACTTTATACAGGTAGTTCT